AATGTTCCTGGGAAACTGTGAAGGAAATTGAACTGTGACTCTTTTATTACATCAGTTCCAGTATTTTTTATCTTAGGCCTCTTTAATCATATGACCTACGTGCTTGTTTCTTGTAGAGGAGAAAGAACTCCACATACTCATCAACAATGCAGGGGTTATGATGTGCCCCTATTCAAAGACAGCTGATGGCTTTGAGATGCAGTTTGGAGTCAACCACCTTGGTAAGATTGCTATACTTTTCTACTTGATCAGTTTTTCTCTTAGAAAGTTCTATTTAAGATATTTCTCTCCTTTTGTCTTGAAATACTATGAGAGGTTAGAGTCTGGTCTGCATGTAAAAATTGGAAAGATTTATGTGCTTTCACAATGCGGGCATGCAGGGAGGACAAATGAGGATATGAGTGTTGCAGTGTTGCAATGCTAGGTGTGCCTCTCTTGTACCTGAATTGTAATGTTGCATGCAGATATGTCATCATTTTTCTTACAGGGATTACATATGTGCTGTTCTGGTTCTTGATCACACTATGAATTGCATGCTGGGCGTTTTTTTACACATCAGATTCTTGATCAAGTTAAGGAGCTATTTCAATGCCCACCAAATCTTAGGTGATTTCCATAATCAGGAGGTAACCATGAACCTTCCCAAGAGTAAAAGCTATTCAGGTGGAAGATATTGTTGTGTAAAAGTTATTTCAACAGCATAGGATGAAATCATCCAGGATGTCACAAAAAATGCTAGAAGAATCTCTAGGCACCTCTTGCTTTGGGTAAAGTTCCTTCATCAGAAAAACACTGAGAAGAAATGGGATTCATGAGACAGTAGAAAGGTAAAAGTCATGGGTCCCCGGAAGAACGTTAATGGTTGTCTCAACAATCCCCTGGATAGCCCTCCAAATTTCTGAAGGATTGTTCTACGAACATATGTCAAAAATGTTCTTTTCAGGCTACTTGGACATTGGTATGCCTGGCAGAACGAGTGCATACCAAGACCTCATACCACCTGTCAAGCATGGAGGAGATGCTTTGCTTGGAATCTGCTTTGTATCAGAGAATTCTGTGGGTGAATATCACACCATATGTCCATCAGCTGAAGTGCAAGTGGGTCATGCAGCAAGGCAGCAATCCCAAATATATAAACAGGTCTACAAGGGAATGAATGAAGAACAAATTCACTGCTTTGGAATGGCTAAGTCAAAGTCTAGACCTAAAACTGTGTAGAAATGTTATGGCAGGACCTGAAACTACAAGTTCATGCTAGAAAGCTCTTAAATCTTACTGAGCTCAGCAACCAGAATCTAAGGGGCAATTACTTTTTCACATCTAGCAAGTTGTATATTGGATGACTTTAGGACCTAGATCAGCCACTGAGTGGCAAAGAGATACAAATATTCAGAAAATCGGAAAGGGGTGAATATTTTTTCAAAAAAAATATGAATTCCTTAAGGACAACTACTTAGCTTCTTGATTATTAGCCATCTCTTGAAAATACAGTGGTACCTCGGGTCATGAACTTAATTCGTTCTGCTACTCTGGTTGCGACCCAAATTGGTCGGGACCCGAATCAAATTTTCCCATAAGGTTCGATGTAAATATGGTTAATCCGTTCTGACCCCTACAGATTTGGTCGCCAACCGATTTTGGTCACGACCCGAATCAAATTTTCCCATAAGGTTCAATGT